TAGCAGCAGCAGCAGCAGCAGCAGTAGCAGCAGCAGCAGCAGCAGCAGTCATTCAACACAGTCTCTCTTTCTTTTCTATAGGATTGCACAACAGGAGAGAAGGGCGTGACCTTTAAGCGGGTAAGCAAAAGGATCTGATGCTGCGAGACTCAACATGTTCTACTGAGGCACAGGCAGCGGGAGGGTTAACATTATCAGCGCAAACGGAACAACAACCATTTAAGTGATGATGCTTTTTTCTTGCTATTTTTGTTTTAGTTAGTTATAGTTGGTTATAGAATCGAGAAAAATTCCTTCAGTTCTTGTGTCATTTGTCAGGTCTTGTAATTCTGTTGATAAATTAAAAGAAATGTGTTCCAATATAAAAATGTTGCATTATTATTATTCATATTCATTACAGAGGAGTCTATTGGAGAAAATAGAAGCAGAAATACTTTTAATATATATATATTACTCAACCAAACATCCACCATTGAGTATGTGGTTCCTCTGGGGCTCGAAGCTTGAACCATATGAGTGTAAGGCAGGAGTGATAACCACTACATGGAACAACAGTTGGAGAGATGGGAATTTCAAAGAGATTCAAGAGATTTTAAATTCAAATAAAAGGTAGACAGAAAGAAAGAACCGGCCCAGAGACATGGTCTTAACTGAGACAAATAAATACAAAGAAAGAACATGGTCTTAACTGAGACAAATAAATACTCTCTTACCAGCTAATAGGGCAACTTCACTTTGATAAATAACCGACTGGACTCTGTCTAGTGATGACAATGATTTTACGCAAAAAAACATGACACATTTCTTTTATTTATTCAATGTGAAGCTGTTCACATCATCCTCCTACTAGTGGTGGTACTGGAAACTGCCCCAGCTGACCTGACCTTCAGGGTGATAAAAAAGAGGTTTTACATTAGATTCACATCTGACTCACTCTAACGCACCATTACAGCAACAGGAACCAGGGTTTGAACCTACCTCAATGAGCTTGTCGTGCTCCTGCACCTCTGCAGTGTAGAGAGATGAGCTTGTGCTCCTGCACCTCTGCAGTGTAGAGATATTTAGGAAACTGAATCTTCAGTTTCCCTCCGTTCAGAGTGACAGTGGTCTGGAAGAAACCAAAGCAAGTCTGGTTAAACTGTAGAAAAGTAAGAAGCTAAAACAGTTAAAAGACTGAAATAAACCCAGACCTTGAACGTCTCTCCAGCTTCAGTTTGCAGCTCACTCTCCTGCCCAATGGTGAACTGGTTGTTCCAGGTTTTGTCCTTCACAGTCTTCGTCAACCTGAATCTGTCGTTCTGGTACATATCTGTAATCATCGCCTCGTTGCTCAGATCCTCTTTTTTAATCCCTAAAGACAAAAAACAGAAAATCATTTACAACAATATAATATTACATTTTAATCCAGTATTAATGTGGGATTTAAGTGTAGGTTCCTCACCAACAGCCTTTAAGAACTCCTCCAGATTCTCCTCTTTTTCCAGCACGTATTTCCCTGTGAAAGCCATGATGACGACTGTCAGTGGTTGGTGTCAGTAGTTGGTATCTGCAAAGACCATAGAAAAATAATCAGTGAAGCTGCTTTATATACGCTTTCCAGCTCCGTCTCCTCTGCAAACAAGGTGTTGTTCCAGGTTCCTCATGTGAGATGTTAATTGTCAATGTTAATTTACCACTCCTGTGAGCAAATATCCTCAAAACTAGAATCATAATAGAGATGAATACATTTAAAATATAATTAAAAAATATAATAAAAAAGAATATAAAAACAAAAAACATAAAATGAATATAAAATATAAATATAAAACTAAAACATTTAAAATATAATCAAATATAATACATTTAAATATTAATACAAGAATCCAAAATCTATATATCCAAATCTATATTTGAATTTTTGTTTCAAGCAAAAGGAGAAAAGAAAACTGTTAGCATTTAGTGAGACAATCCTTCACTCCACTGCTCCTTCGTTTAAATCATTGTTTCCCAAAGACTGGGCCGCGATCCTTACGTGGGTTGCAAGAGATTGTTTTTTGGGGTCGTCTCGCATCATGTTTCCCAGGAGTTTACGAATAATGTCTATTGACTTGGGTCGCGAAGGTTTGTGACTTAAATAAATATGGGTCCTGGAAAAAAAGTTTGGGAAACACTGGTTTAAGTGACAGTTACCCAGAAACCTGAAGACTGTTTTTCAATTAAAATGTGTCATTGGTGTAAAAGCTCTGCTGACTTTCTGTTGTGGTCAACGGCTGCGTTGATCATAGTGTTTTCCTGCATGCTGTTAGTCTTTTTTCTGACTGTGTCCTGTTGTAGCACTTGAATGACAAACATTTCCATGCATTAATATTGTGCTCTTGTTTCCACAAAACCAATACACACTGGTAAAACCGGTCTCTTTTATGAAGATAAAAGTAAGCGCTGCAGGCACAGCAGACAGCAGCTGACAGACGAATCTTGATAAATTTTAATGTCAGCTGTCTGTGGATCAGCTGTGCAAACACTTCCACGCCCTTCAGGCCAAACTGCCACTGTTGGGGTAGTTAAATTATCAGAATGGTGCTGATATTTATTTGATATATATTTGCATTTTGTTATTTTTACATTTAAATACAGCTTTTACTGCTCAGATATGGTGACTGGTTAGAATAAACAATGAACTTTTGTTTTTCTTACTTTGTATCTTCAGCAGTTCAAAAGGTCAATGGTTTCAATGGTTGTTAGTAATTGTTATAAAACATTTGAGTTGATGGTTAATATAGCAATAAAATGAATAAACCAGAATAAAAATAAAAATATTACATAACGTAAAGAGGTCCTAAGTTTCTTTTAAGGTTGTGGCAAATATTTAACCTGACAGGTAAACAGACTGTAGCCTGAAATATAAAATTATTATTGTTTTTATTTTCATTTTGTAAGGTCATGCAGTTGCGCTTCCCTCCAGCAAATGTCACCCAAGGTGAACGCTTAAGTCAAGGTAATTAGCACGTTTAGGTTAGTGGGGTTTTTTTTGTATGTTTGTTTGTTTTTTGTGGTTTATTGTTCAGGTTGACCGCAGAGGTGGTGGATGAGGATTGTGAGCACTTAAAATAAAAACAAAAAATAAATGTGAGATGTTTACCTGGACTAGTGACGATATTAAAACTTGTTCATGTGATAAAAACACATCAACAAATATTATACACACATATTGATTGTTTCGTGTAATAAATTAATATTTAAATTCGGGAAATTCAGTCTTTTTAAAAGAAGCTCAAAAGCCAAAAAATGCTTAAACTATAAAGGGTTCTTCTCCATTCTTGCCGCAAGAGGGTGCGCTCGTTACTTTGTAACCGACCTTCTGAATCTAACGAGTTAATATTTAGAGTGTAAATAAAGTTCATCAGTTCTCACGACGCTCACGGCGGTTCCGGCTGACTGAGGAACTGCAGCGTCTGTGTTCTGACTTCCTGTCATTGGAGACGATGTTTTTGTTTGGCGTAACAGAGAAGAATGTTCTCGACTTAAACACACAGCGACTTCTATACGGGCGGGTTTTTCTAATGGGCTTCTGAAAAAGTAAAGAGAACGAAAAGACCATTAACATTAAATGACATTAAATACTACACTTCTACTACATTCTACTTTTCCTTTTCTGTGTCCTTTTTAATTCTTCCCTTCTTTTTACCTGTGTTCTTTGACATTTGGCAAAACAAATATTTATTTTTTTAAATAGTCACCATAAAACATGACGTGTGAAATTCTTCTACGACTAAATCCTTTTACAAACACTGAGTGGATCTTAGACCACACTCTTTAGTTCAAATATAGAAACCAGAGGATAAATCTATGTAGAATGTTGATGAAAATCAAAAGTTAAAGCCAAAGGGCAACACTTTGTTCAACTTCTTGGAGACGGCCTTTAATCAGCGTGTGTTCCCATCGAGCTAAAAAGAACAAAAACAGCTCAAACAGGAAATCAGACCAGATGTTGGGGTTCAAATAAACATCTAAACATACAGTATCTCTGCAGCACCAACACCACTGCCCTGATCCCTGCGGTTAGCTTCTATCTCGTAGCACATATAGAAAGACTCCTATAAATTGAGCAGCCCACTCTGCAGCCCCCACTCTCTCAACACTTTTCCAAATTCTTCCCCGAGGACATATTCAAAGGAAGCCAGCAGCCTGCTGTTTCAGCTCCAAACACAAAAGCTTACAGGAGGCCGTGAGGACGATCCATTATTAAAGTGACGGCCCTGAGCGCCGCTCCACACCCCACTATCTCCACCTCCTCCGCCCTCTTTACAGACGGACCAGTCAGCTGTGGAGATCTGGAAGGATCTCCTTTCATCTCCACATCAATGCGTGCTCTTATTTTATTTTAATCTGAAATCTACAAATCACACGGAGTTTATCTGTGAGCCCTGCCAAACGCTGATTGCTCTTTAATCTCCACGCCAAGTCACTTACAGTTTGATGTGGATCATGTGAAGGAAAAGTGCCGTTCACATCTCTTTAATCCTAATAGTAATTAAAGATGTGAGAGATGAGGGTTCTTTGCAAGTTAAAATTTTAAAGAGTTTTTTTTTTAAGAGTTGTCGGTCAAGTCATTTTCCAAGTGCTTTTACTCACAGCTAATAGTTAGAGCGAATGCAGCATTTAATACAACATTAAGTTTAATCTGTGAGGTCCCTTACTGTAGGTTTAACATCAGGACAAAAAACTGCCTTGGTTTAGTCTTAAAAAAAAAGTTTAATCAATGCAGAATTATGAAGCTGAAGCGGAAGCTAAGTTTAGCTAGGATTATTAAAAAAATACTGGTGTGTAATTGAACTTTTATGTATAATATTATTTGGTAAACACTTCGGGTTTTCTTCAGAGTGAATATTTCTTCACGTTTCTCAAAACAACAGTTCGTACAGTATCTCAGTGAAGATTCTCATTCATCCAGGTCAGAGGTTAGTTGGAAGCAACTGGACTTCTTGGATCTTCAAAGACATTTACCAGGTCAGAGGTTAGTTGGACTTCTTGGATCTTCAAAGACATTTTGTTCCTCAAATGAGGAACTTCATCAGTTTCTGGTTGATATAAGAGGAAACACTAGTAGTTACTGTATACTTCTCTAGACCTCACTCTTCTCCACTTGATAGTGGAGGAACAAAACGTTTTTCAAGCTCCAAGAAGAAGTACAGTTGCTCACTACTTTGGATAACAGTAGTCGTATCAACCTGGGGCTCAGTGTTGGACGAGCTGTGTCCAGAATCGAACTCTGACCTTAGTGTGAAGATGATCTGTGTCATCTAACAATAGGCTTTTAGATCAGAAAAAGAAAAAAACAAACAAAACTGACATCACAAGTGGAAAAACAATGTTCTACAAATGAGATAACGTGAAAAAACAATGTTCTACAAATGAGATAACAGCATCCACTGTTCTGTCAGGAACAAGAGCAGGCTGATGTATCTGCAGGAATTATGGGAGAATAAAGTGGAGTGTGTGCTCGGAGCTGAATTCATTTGTCCACACTGAGAGCCTTCAGACACGGAGCTGTGATCGCGCTGCGCAGACGGAGTTCAGGAGCAACAGAAACGCTGCTCCTGTTCCCTCAAAGGCTGAATAATAACTTTGTCTGCGGGTTAGAAAGTACCACCTGTGGTTACAATATTCCACCCATGGTGAGACGAGTGGGAATGGGAGATGGAATGGCACTTTTCCTAGCATGTGGTCACAGCCAGAGGAACGTTTGTCAGAATCTGCCGGTTCATCACTGGAGGGCTGCGGAGAATTGTCTTCTGATCCAACAAAGTGCAGCTTCCTCCAGAAGAAAGAGAACGCTCTCAAACTCATTTCATGTGTGGTTTATTTTGTCATGGCACATTATGATAAAAAAAGAAAAGAAAATCCCTTTATCATTTAGTGTCACATAAAACAAGACTACAAATTGGTAGAAAAGAATATAAAAAAAACGGAAATGTTGCGGTTTAATTTCATGGTCGGACGTTAACATCAGACGTTTTCCTTTTGGTGTGACACGGGTGAAACTAAAACAAAAATCATTCAGTAATAGTCTATCACTCACAAGAAGTGGCTGCAATATGCAACATATTTAATGAGTTCAGAGCCCACTGCTCTCTAAGAAAACAACCAAACTACAGTCAGTCAGTTCACACAATTATATAAAAAATAAGTTATTATAAAAAAAAAAGGAAAAAAAAGATGAACCAGTGGTGTGCACCAGACAGTGACGGCTATGGTCGAGGGAAGAGGGGAAAAGAAACTACAGTTATTGCACCTTTGACACCTCAGTGAGAAGTTGCTCATGAGTTATGAGTAAAATAAAAAAATAAAAAAAGACTATGAAGATTTGAAGTACAAGCAGAGAAAACAAGCTGTGAACAAATTAGAAGACACAGTTTGTTAGATATAACGGGAAAAACTGGTTTAGCACGCTAATTAGCAATTAGCTAATTGCTAACAGCAAAACGCAGTGACGGTTGATCACCGAGTGGTGGTTGTGGTTGTAACTCAGACGTGCGTCAGAGGGAAAAGTGGTGAACACGCCTTGAATTATGGATTCAAGGTTCACAGCTGGAACACGACAGCAGATGGAGACAAAGTCATGACGGTGACTCCGTACACGTTTGTGGGGCAGACGGTGGGTAAACCCCGACCTGCTGGGTCCAAACGTGTATGTATGGTTCGGTAAAGTCTCACTAAAATGGCTGTTGGTTAATTCTGGAACTTTCTAGGATGAAAATACAGGAAAATGATTCCTCTGGACCAAAAGTCACAGTTTGGTTCCAGTTTCCAGCCTATTTTATATCAACACCGCCCACACAAGTTGGATGTAAAACAACAACAAACAAACGAGTCAAAGTCGGATTTCACCTGTAGTTATTATTTGAGTCAGAACTATATCCAGGAAGATAAAAAAAAACCCCAACAACAACAACTAATGGACTGATGATGACGTCCAGGTACTTTTGGACTGTGTGTTTTTTTCTGACAAGGACAGACATGCAATTTGAGTAATTAAATGTGCTTTAAAACTGTGTGTTACTTGAAAAAAAAAGTTCCTGGTACTTAAAACTGTGCAGTGAAAACACAGATGAAGATCAGTGTTTAGTAAATTAATCCAATGGATTTGACCCTGTTTCCAGACGTTTCCTCCAAACTAAGTCTTTCATATTTCTAACTGGAGCCTGTGTTCACCCAACAAGACCATCGTCAGCAGGCTGTTCTGTTGTGAACTAAAATATCAGACAAGAAAACAAGGAAAAACAAAAACTCTAAGTTTATGAACATCAACCAAGTCCACGTGGAGCCGACAGTCTTCTTTAAGACATGGTTCTAAAAACCACAGCTTTAGCAACAGTTTGAGGTGAGTGCGGTCACAGGAGACGGGCAAAAAAACGTGGCAGGAAACTGACACGACACACTGATAGGGTGATGTCCAACACGTGTAACGTCACTAATGTTAAAAAAACAAAACAAAAAAATAAACAGTCAGTCAGCTGCCGCCAAACCACAGTAACATTTCAGTCGACAACATCCAGAAGCTGAGGTCCATGATCACTCAGGGTATCGCCACGGCAACCACCAGCAGTGGGAATCTGGATGTGTTTACGCTTCAACAGGAAGTGGACGAGTCAGGGCCGCAGCTTTGGAGAGCAATTACAGACGACTGCCTACAGATGTTTGTGCGTGAAACCAGTGACCACCGGGTTGTTCCACCACAGACATGGCTCACAGCTCAGCAGCTGAATGAACGGAGGGTACGGTCCAGTGATGAGGACGGGGTGGCAGTTAAGACCCCGCAGATGCTGCATTAGCATCTGCTTTAAAGCATTACAGCACAGAGTAATCAAAAAGGCTGTGTATAAGCCCGAAATCCTGAGCTGGAGTATACAGTTTATGTGAACGGGTACACAGAAAAAATATAATCAAAGGTGTGTTTATAAGTTGGAAAAGGGGGAAAAAAAAGCTAAGCTATATCAAAACATAATAAGAAACAAAACAAGTAAAACAAAGGAAGTCATCATAAATAAAAGCTATGGCATGTTTCAATGGCATCATATTCAAGTAATTTTCTTCAAGTCCCTGATAATCAGTGGTTCATGTAAACATTGGAGTCAATAATAAACACAGACACAGAACCAACAGGTCAAGAAAAAGGCAGCAGCAATTCATATTTACAATGCACGACCAACGTCCATGTCTCCTCCACCCTTCCCGGTCCAGTCACCTCTGTTTGTGTTCGCTTCTGTGAGCAGTGGACGCTGGGAATAATAAAAAAAAAAAAAACACCTGCAGCTACAGGAGAGCCGTGTCTTCCCCCAGTGTGAGGGCTCCGCCACAGGGCAGGACTTTGGAGGAGGGAGAGGAGAGACGAGACGAGAGGTGAAGGAGTCCCGAGAAAAACTAAAACAGTGCACGTGTGTTCAACGCCACCTGCTGTGAGGTTGTATGTGGTGAGGTTTTTTTCTTTTTTTACCCAGAGAAGACGCAAACAGTGAATCAACGGTGAGGACACGACAGAGCAGACATTTTCAAACGTGTGTCGTCTTTTGGCTTCATTCTTCTCATCAGTATTACGTCAGCCCGATCTCTACCATGACGTGTTAATGTTTTAATTTTTTTTTTGGATTAAAAATTGAACTAAGTGAGCAGCAAAGGTTGTCATCACAGAAACCTTGTGTTGGCTCAGCTGTGATGAGGCTGAGCAGAGGCACTGACTGAGGCCGGTGTGCGATCACACCACCATCTCCTTCACAGTGACGACCATCTACGACAGTTCACAGGAGCAGTTCACAGCGGCAGAGCCGCGACGTTTGTTTGCGACGCCTCAGTGTGTCATGAGTCAGCGGAGCGCCTGTCACGTCAGCGTGATGACTTCCACCGGGTCCGTCTTACTTTTTGGCCTCTGCTTGCGTTTGAGGCGCGTCTGGGACAGGGGTCGAGGAGTGGGATCCGCTGAGGGTGTCGCTGTGCCGACGGAGAGAGAGAGGAGGTCTGCGAGGGGATGTTTGAGGGACGGGAGCTGGCAAGAAAGCACGCTGTTGCACTCCCGCAAAGGTTTGATCTCTCTCTCCGTCTCCTGGCGTCACCTGTCAAAGCAGCCGGCAGCGAAGGTGTGATGAGAGCCCAGGTAGCCCCCGCTGTAGGCCATGCTGAGGCAGTGCCGCGGCTCCCCTGCCAGAGCCATCTGCACGGAAATAGGACCCGGGAGCGGCATCGCTCGACTCACAGGCTGGAGGCCGGAGGTCAGGCTCGGGTAGGAAGGGAACCCGCTCCCCGCAGTGATGGAGGGAGCTCCGGTGAGTAAACCCACTCTGTGGCTCTGAAGGAAGTCCTGGGACACGTTCACCACCGGACCCAGAGCATGGGAGTCGGCGAGCGCCTGCAGCTGGGACAGGGAGGGAGAATGCTGGGATATGTGCGGGAAGCCGTCAGGCTGAAAGAGCAGCTGTGGTGTTGAAGAGCTGGAGGAGGACGAGCAGGAGGAGGAGGACGAGGAGGAGGCCGGCCTCTGAATGGCTGACACTGGGGAGAGGTGAGAGGTCTGGGCCTGCGACTGCAGGGAGGAGGGGTGATGGTGGTGATGGTGTGGCGTCGTGGGCTTGCTTTTGTTGGCCTCCTTGACGTCATTGTCATGAGCACTGTGAAAGAAAAAAAAACACACGTATTTCATAAATTAAAAATGATGAAATAAGTCAATCAACATTTTATTGGTCACAAAAGAATGTTTTTTTTGTAAACTTGAAATAGGGTGCATAGATGTGGATACTGTGTCAGTCTTTGGTCACAAATTAATGTTTTTTTTGTAAACTTGAGATAGGGTGCATAGATGTGGATACTGTGTTTGAATCATAGCCCAGTGTGGCCCACAGCCAACATCCCACATCCATGTGATAGTCCAGCTGTCAATCACATGTGGTGTCCACATATGTGCACCATCTTGGTTTGCTTTTTCTCCATTTTCGATCATTTTCATGTACACAGTCTACGGTCTGAACTGACACTTTAACTCGACTGACTGAGTCTGAACACATGCAAAGAATTAATGTCAAACATCAACAGACAGATGCATACAGTGTGTGTGTGTGTGTGTGTGTGTCTTACAGCAGCATCAGTTCAATGCACTGGGTCAGGTGGTCCCAGGTGTAGCCGGTCAGCAGATGCAGCGCAGTCGTCCAGCTCGGGGATATTTGAAGGCAAATTCGAGAGGCCGCCACACACGCAGCTGCAACCTGAGATGGTCGGAAACTCAGGAAGGCATGATCTGCAGAAGTAAATTCCCTCAATTAGACTGTGTAAATATATCGAGGCACAAAAGGTGGACAAAGGATTTTTGACATCTGTTTTTCTACTTCCAACTCCAGGCTCACCCTGCAAGGACACTTCCAGGAAGTAGTGAGTGTATTTGTCCATGAAAGCCTTGGTCTTGGAGAGGGAGGACAGTGGCCAGCCGTTGTACAGGTCGCCCTCCTGCACCGAGGCGTGGAGGTAGTAGTCGATGAAGTGGGCAGGTGTGGGCATGCACAGATTCCAGCCAAAAGTCTCCAGCAGCAGAAGCTCCATCTTGATCAGATCCTTTTTGTTCAGGACCAGGTTGAGGCTGCACATGAAGCCCAGAGAGTTCAGCTGCTCCAGTTTGGGAACGCGGTCCTCTTTCTCCTCAAATTTACCTGGAGAAAAGAAAGAGAAATAAAGAAAAAAAAAGGCAGGTTTTTTTTATTAGCATTCAAATGTACTGCAGAATCATACAATGTGCTGTGGAACATGACATCACAACTGCAGCCATCCCTGTTCTTTCTTTAGAAAGCACTGGAGTTAACAAGATATACAGGAATATCCCACAGGCTGCGTCATTGACTGAGGCCTCGGGGGGTGTAAACTACACTGGTATTGAGCTGCTTGAGATCAATATGGAGTAAAATAACCTTATGAGATTAGCACTTTAAAAAGCAACACTAACGACTTCTGATTGGCTCGTCTTTATACCGATTTTTAGCTTTTCTGGCCCTAATGTTCTTACCAATAAAAAAGAAATTTACATCTTAATTTGACGTGTGGCCAGTTGACTGAACTGCATTCAGACATTACTCCACCAGATGTCAGAAATTTAAAGGTACAGTATATATATACAGTATGTGTGTGTATGTGCAAAAACTAATAAGTCTTAAAATAAGTTAACTTTTCCACTTTTTTTTTTGACAATGGACCTATAAAACCCCATGATGCATCTGTTCAAGAGGGCCACACATGAAGTAAATAAAGCAGGCTTATTATGTGACAATCAAAACCACAGTTCTTATGTCTAGGCACCAGAGCACTTCAGTATTTTTTTTTTCACAGTTCTTATGTCTAGGCAACTGAACACTCATAAACAGCACCAGAGCACTTCAGTATTTTTTTTTTAGTTGACAAAAAACAATTACCCAGTAGTTTAATCTAAAACCCCAGGAATAAGTTACATGATCCATGCATACAAATCTGAAAACATTCGAGTGATTTCAATAGTAAAAAATAATTAATAATAAAGAATTGAAACCAATAAACATAAAAAATAATTAATAATAATAAAGAATTGAAACCAATAAACACCGCTGTAGTCCCATGCAGTGGATTTACAGGCAGCCCCAAAGTTCCAGCTTCCACAGAAACCTTAACAAGTGCCTGCTAAGCATTAGCAATTAAAGTGACTATTACTGAACATCTGGCCATAAAGCCGAGCTGTTAGACTAACAAGGCAGCATCAGGCCCTTAATGTGGATTATACAAGCTGCACTATTCTCTATGAAAAAGCGGGTAATCTGT